ACAACACATGAAAAGTAATTCTAATTTGCCAAAAACAAAACCTAGGATAAGTAGTGACCTTTTGAATATGTAAATCAATTGCACAATGCTAAATAAGGTAGATACAATAGATTCTAATATGTGATAGCTTTGTAATGTAAGCACACCAGACTTAATGAATCTCTCAAAGTCTTCACACGTTGGTGGAAATGGAGCCATCCACATTTGGGAAGTCCATCTATGGGCAGCAAAGGTCTCCAGAGATACTACCTTGCTGCAGCTCTAGGATGGAACAGGATGTGAGCACAGCATGGCACTGGGCCAAAGCAGGTCCCTGTGATGCTTTCTGCGGGGTGCACAGCAAGACGACAGACTCATGGCCACTTGGGGAGCAGAGCACTGTGGAAGGACTAGCAGCCAGTCCGAGCAGCATGGGGCCCATGGCCCCACAGTATAAGCAGTGACCAGTCCCAGGGCTGCTGGTGTCCTACCACAGAGATCTATCCCTCAGGATGGCACAGTGCCACAGGGTTGTGACACAGATGGAACAGAATTGCTCTGAGAACATGTATTTTGAGGAGCTGTTGCAAAGAGACATTTAGCAAATGGCAATTGAAGATCAGACCTCAAACAAACTCAGATAAATAAAATAGAAGTAGTTATAAGTACATGTTCCTGTGAAATAAAAACATCAAGCCTGCAGTCTTCAAATAAATACAAGCACCTGTATAGGCTTAGTTCTTGAATTTACCGAAAGGTTCACGTAGTGCCTTATCATCCCAACTACAAATACTTGCATTCAGGGAAAACGTTAGTGGCTCTCATTTTGAAAGTCATCTGGCACTGCCAAGCATTATCAAACTCTTATACTATGTCCTAAAAATGTGTCCGAGAGCTAGATGTTCTTCATTTATGCCAGCATTTCACTAAAGAATAAAATAAACGGTGGAGGGGGGGCACACAAGGAGGGGAAAGTTTGTGATCTACTTTTGCTAATGATACCTAGTTTTGTAATTATTAAAAGCATCACATACCTTAGACAGCTGCTGACATACAGAAAATAATGTCCTTGAAACTGTTTGTTTCATCATATTTTAAGAATTAATACCTTAGGTCATGTTAATCAGTTTCTGATATATGTAGTTTTCAAAATGCACTTCAGGGAAGAAAATGCTGGAAATGACTAATAAAGACATGAACTTTATTCATTGTATGTCTAACTCCAAATGTGAACATTACCAAAGTACTTTGCCATCTGAAGTATTTAGGAAGCCTTAAATAAAAAATAAATCCACTTCATTCAGTGAAATAGAACATCCTCTTTTTCCAAGCAAAAGAGTTCAAATTTATTAATTTTGTAGCCATATTTTAAAATGAGTGTCAGCCCCTGCTAGATGACTACATGATAAGTGTCCTGAAACTTCAGGAAAAGGCACTAAATTTTTCACAGCATTTGTGTTTCATTTTCAGTGTAATAAAAATATGGTGCCCTTTTAATAATGAATAATAGATTTCCTGGTATGATTTACATGAGTGGATTAAATGTCATGTTTGAAAAGTTGCTGTTTTATTCATATTGAATTTCCCTCAAGTAAAACAAAATGGTACCCAGCTACTGTTATAATATTGCTAGTACCTCGCCACACTGATACATAAATATTAACCAGTTGATACACTCTTTAAAAATCTTCAGTTCTGTGAACTGTTCTGTCAGCAATGATGTCTTTTCATGCGTATGAACAGATTTAGTACTATCCCAAGTTCCAGGTACACTGGGGAAAATGTGTAGCACCAGTGCTCACATACTTCTGGAGCTCAGCAGTGCTGGACTGACTTCCGAGGTGTCTGGACAGCACAATGAATACTTTTCAAATGTCACTTGCAGGTAACCTCATCGACTTGTGGTGCTCTTCGCAACAGTTGAAAATTTCCTATCTGAACTTCCCATTCTGAACACTTTCTAACAGGCAATATTTCGTCTTGAAAAGTGCTTCAGAAATGTTTATAATTTGTTGCAAAGAAAGAGGAAATAAGAACATCTTCCTTAAAGATTCCTCCTCTGTAGGCAAAGTTGGCAATGTACCACAAAATATTTTGGTCCCGATAATTGAAATTATAGCTGAAAACAGTTTTTTTTTAAAGAAGAGAAGCTTTTTTGCCACATTCCAACTTTTGTTCCACTGAAGCCAATGAATATTTTGACTCTGAAAAGTGAGGTTTTGTTCTTATTGTTGTAACTCTTTCATAGAAAAATTTTAATGTCTACTGAACTAACCAAAAAAAAGATGGCAAAATAAAACACCTTTTTCTATGTAAAATTATACTTTTGCATACTGGAATTCATTTGTGCTCTTCAAGTCATCATTAAGCTGAAAAATGTAATCTGGACTTGCTAACACTTGAACATAATCCTATGGAGTAAAACAGTGCTTTAAATACACTGTGAAAAAAAAATGTTTACTGACTACTTAGGTCTTATCTATAATAGGATCTTACCCACCATGAAACAGCAATAAGGAAGTTATACTAATAAAATCCTTGTTCTAGGTAAAGATGATGCAGTCACACAGACTTTACCTATCAAAGCCTAAAGTCCACTTGCATAAACTAAATATATGAAAATATCCTATAAATGATGAGTCTAAAACAAGTCCCATTCAGATTATGCCATTTGTTGCTATTTCTAAAATGGTAAACAGTCATTTGAAACAGCAATTGCGTTTTATCACAATCCAAAGCATTCATACGGGTTTCATTCAGCATAATTTAAATTAAAAAAATTACTTGTTTGACTGTCTGGCCTTACTGAAAGACAAATAAAATTCAACTGCAGCTATTAGGAGCCACTGTCTAGTAAGTAGTCAGAGGTTATTGGGGAAGTAGGTTGACAAACTAAAAGGGAGGACAATGAAGGAGCGGAAAGAAGGGAAACTGGCAAGCTGGAGCAAAGAACATTGATTAATGAACAGAAAACATTTTTGAAAGGTCGGGTGTGCAAGTCAGACTAGCCCTGAGGCAGATCTAACTTACATGACCAGCACTTTCTGTACGCAGCAGGTAACCCACGCTGACACCAACTTTGCCGACATGACAGGGTTATTATTTTTGGAAGGATGTAGTGTTCTGGAACAATTTCTCTAATATATTACTTAAAATTAAGCTTTCCTTCAATATCAAGCATGCATGTCTTCATTTTCACCATGTTTACACTGAATTCCTATCGTTATTCTGGCCAATGAAAACAGAAGCGTATTCTGCATTTGTGAACACTTCTATTTCCCACCCCATAATATATCCCAGGGCAGTAGTGTTGTATATTAGATTGTGTTCAAACCCAGATGCTCATGTGAAGCTCACCATTAAGACGTCACTACTTACCCCAAGTTTTCTGGTAGATGTTAACCATCTGAAGCCTAAAATTTGCCTCATCTCAGCACAGACCCCAAGGGTTTCTTCTGAAACGTATCTTAAGGTTGTGCACCAATACCAAGTGGAAGAACAGAAAGGTAGAGTCATCCAGGGTACAATACATCCTATGTCTTCAAAATGAGCTGGTGGAGAAGGTTTTCTAAAGTTATTACATTAAGCTTTTGCTGTCCATTATAGAGTACTGAAGACAGGGAATTATCAGGTCATTTAATCCAACTTCTCCTGGTCCTGTATTTTAAGAGAACTTGCCCGAGACCTACACGCTGGTTCACTAGACTAAAAATGAAGTTTGGTGAAGATGCTAACCAAATGTCCTCTGTGAGACCCAAGAGAACTTTAAAGCAAACTTGCAAATGCAAAAAGCATCAAAGACCTAGGAGAAACATGATGCTGAAAGGAAATAGATCATGCTGGAGTCATTCAGTCATACTGTCCAGTCTTCTCCTTTCAAGACAATACTTAATCTCCGAGGAAAAATAACCAGGATGCACACATCCTGCCTAGGAAGGAATCCCAGCTCAGTGATCTCTCTGACAGATGCATGTATTTGTTTTAACATCATGTGAAAGTCACATTCACAGTTTCTCCCCCCATATATGTGATTCCTTTCACACCAATAGCTGTATTACAGACACTGTTCATTATCTACTACAGGTGATAAACGGTTAAAAAGCAGAAAATGTGACTTAGTAACACTTTATAAGTCACAAACCCAACATCTGAAATTACCTATCCACAAGTAACTGAAAGCACCAGTGGCACACATAATGGTTTGCTATCCCAAAGCTCTTTGGGATAAGGACTGCCTGTCTGTTCTGTATCCATGCAACACTTTGGACAACAGAAGGTTTGGAGGAGGAAAACTACCATTCAGGTCATACCACAAAATAAATGATTGAAAGTAAAAAAAACTAGTCATTCTACCAATGCCTCATAACACACACAAAAAAACCCCACTGCACTGAGAGAGATGAAGATTGTTTTTCAAACCGTAAAGAAGCTTTCACGTGCCAGAGGGTTTATCTGAGACCAATGTTTCAACCAGCACTAGGCATTAGCTACAACAGTGAGCAACTGACACACAACAATCCTGCCATGCACAGCATGCTTAGGCAGGAAAATATGTGTGCCTCAGTCACAAAAGACAGAATAGAGCCTCAAGTGCTTGGGCTCCTTCCAAAATAATCCAAATGCTGCTTTTTTGGCAAATGGGGGTCAATGGAGCTAAAAACTCACAAAAGGATTTGGGCATTCATGTGTTTATATACACCCACTCGTTCATTTATTATTCTAAAGCTACTTTACAGAAATCAAATTACATAGCTGACAAGCTGCATAGATAAGAGAGAATAAAAGTAAAACTTAAAATTAGCTGACAACACTATATGATGTAGCATATATTTGGCACTTTCAGAGTGAGTGATGAGGGTTAACCTAGGGGAAAAAAATTGCACCTTTCTAAATTGCACCTTAAAATATTAAATAAATTATTAACATGATGGAATGCATTAAATATATAAGCCTAAAGGAAAAAGAGCGGATGTGTTTTAACTTTCAAAGCAAAGACAGCATATTTATGAAGTGTTGCTTACTGTCTGGATACTTTGTCCAAAGTAGATTTCAGTGTTGTAGAAGTTTCCACCATGAGTAACAGGCTGCGTTGTCCTGGCCTGAGGCTGCTCCTTCAGTTCAGGTCTCTCCAGCAAGCCACCACCTAAGCGGCTCAGAACACGAACTTTGAGAGTGTAGTGGCCTTTAGGGACCTTATCTTTGACTCCCCTCAGGCATTTGAAGTGAATTTCTATTGACTGAGGCTTCTTGGAGTAGTCAACCTAGGGAGAAGGCTCCGAGTTACCAACATGGGCTGAGCTGACTTTAATCATACAATTAGCAAGAACAAATTTCTTCCAGAAAACAAACACTGAAAAACAGACAACACATTTCTTGTTCAACCTGCAATTACTTATTGCTAGCCAAGTATCTGCAATTAGGGAGGTCAAAAGTCATAGAGATGACAGATAAAAAAAGCAGTACAAATACTACTCATAAAATGTTAAGCATCCTTGGAGGGAAGGTAGAGCTGGTGAAGTATGACACCAGAAGATATTAGACGGTAATAATAAGGCAGAATTAACTGGAATACAATACCTTCAAAAATATAGCATGCTTTGCGAGACAGGCACAATATTTGATGTGACGAGCAGGCCACAGGCTCAGAGTGAAAGACAGGGCAGGCCATGTTTTTACACTAATTATTAGCCTTGCCAAAGCTATTAGTGCTGTGTAAGATGCAGACTATCCTTTTACCTTCTGATTATCATATAATCAGATTCTCTTAAAAATAGTAATCAAAGTGCAACACATGTAGAGTTTAATAACAACTCCCTAAAGGCACCTTTACTCCAAGTCCAGACAGAAGGAAATGTCTGCCGGTTGCTGTTGACAAGATGTTGTCTGAGTTACAGAATGTTTAGCATGAAATAAATGCTGTGTACCAGAAATGCTTTTCTAGTGCTTTCCTTGTGTACTCAGCTTCTCAGTGTGGGGGTTGGCTGTGGGGAACAGACACGACTGTACAATCCTTACACAACCTTGCCTGAGTAATGATGTAAGGTTTGTCCCACTACACCAGAAGATACTTCAGTGCTGCCCAAATGCAGGGGTCAGGCATACAACAGAGAGTCCCAGTTGGGCTCCAGTGTTGACTTGAATGGATAAAATTGTTTCTACAGTAACTAATTATTTAGTGCTTAAAATCAGCAATGCTATTCCTCTTTTCCCCAAGAAATCAATTTCTTCTATTATTTGGAGAAAAGACTAGTGATAGATGTCCTTTTTTTTCAATTGGTTATAAGAACCCACACTTCAGAATCACATGGCTACCTTGACTACTAGGTTTAGTGGTCTCACAGTTTAAGCCTACGGTAGCTAATAATCTCTTCTTTAATCCTGTCTTGGATTTATTTTGGAAGAGATAGCATATTTCCATATAGATAGAAAGCTTCTGGAATTAAATTAAGCAGTTAAATAAACAGCTGAATTTGTTAAACTTCTTTTGTTTCTCAACACAAACCATACTTAACAATTAATCTGAATGACAATAATTTTCAGCTTAATTAGAAAATCTTAATTAACAATGAAGATTTAACCTTAATATTTTTGGTTTCTGAATCATATATAAAAAAAAATTAACATTATGTGAATAAATAAGACAATCTTTTTAAACCTCAAGGCAGGATTACTGATGCAGGCAGCCTTCGTTATTAAACACATTCTAAATTAAACGCCTCTATGAATTTTATACTGAAATATATTGTGATAGTTTTGCATGCCAAATGTGACATTTTGTATTTTAGATTCATCTTCTGTAGTAATTTTGGAAATGTCATACAAACAAAGATTTTGTCATTTACCAATGGAATTACTATGCATGGCCGGTTAGCCATCTCTTTTCTGGCTCTTCTGGTTGTTTCAAGTCAGCAAGCCATAAAAAATCTTTATCTCTCTGAAACACAGCAATTTGGAAGATAATCGAATAGTGACTGGGGGGCAGAAACGCCAGTCTGAGGAATTATACCACAATCTCTCTTGCATTTACAACCTTCCTCAAAGCGAGTGTCAGTCGAATAGGAAAAGGAGATAGAAGATTCATCATATTTCAAGCCTGTCTCATTTGCATGGTGGCATAACTGTCTCATCTCCTGCTGAAAGACTTTGCTTGGCCAGCACTGACAAACTGTTTTGAAGAACTCTTGCCATGCCCAAATGATTCATCATTAATTGCTTTAGACATTCTCTTTAAGCATATGGTTACTTTTGCTGGAAAGCATATTTTGAAACCTGCTAAATTCTATCCTCTTAAACTATGAAAAGAAAAATAAAAAAAAAAAAAAAAAAAAGGAAAGAAAAACAACAGTACAGTTGATCCAGTCATTTAGCAGTTGACATTAGGGAAAAGAGCACTCATGGAGAACCTCACCTTCTCGCAAGGCCCTGCTGCTGCTCCATTTAATCCAGTATTCACACTTGCGAGGTTACCAAAGCTGGCTATCATTTCTTCTTCCCTTCCATTCTCTTCTGTTTTCAGTGGCTGACTTCCCAATCTGCAGAAATCAGAATGAGAAGAAGAACAGAAAAGAAATTAACTACCATGTATACACAGAAAGCACTTGCTGTTGGAAATACATAAGCTTGATGTTTTCCTTGAACATATCCTAAGACTTACAGTGCACTCAGAAGAAACAACAGTTTGCTAAAGCAGAGAAATGGCTAGGCTTCAAAAAGCAGCATAAAAAAATAACAAGACCAATATTTGTCAGTCTGTGCCACAGGTTGACACAAGGAACCTGAAGTTTTAGTGCCTGTCTATAATCAGCTCTGTCTGGCATTGGGGCTCAGGATCTAGGTTGAGAATATCAAAGTAGGAAGCCATTGCCTCTGCTGACACTTTGAGGACTGATTGACAGCTTCAATAAACTTGGACAGGTTTTTGGAAACCACTGAGTCCTTGGGGACTTGATTGCTTTAAACCACAGAAAAAAAAATAATTATATATATAAAATCTTACTTTTTTGTTTGTTTTTCCCATCCAAAAAAATCTTATAAATTTATATCTAAATCTTATGTCATTTAGAAATCTTCAAAAATATCTTATTTCATAGATAGAAAAATTAAATATATAAATTATATGTCATACATATACACTTACATGCACATACACAAATTTTCAGCTGTATGTGAACCACTAAACCTTCCTTGTCATTCATATGTTAACTTCTTGTGTATTTAAAGTGATTTGGAGGGTAATTATATCAACTCAAAGTTGTTGGGTTTTTTTGGTTTTTTTTCAAGAGAGGTCAGTGTAGCAACACAGAATGCCAGCAAAAATACAGCAAGAATAGCCCTACACTTCCAATGCTGCCCTGCTTAGTGCACAGGATACACAAAAGGCACAGTACCCTATGGAGAAAATCTTGTTCCCAGAACACAGCAGGAGCAAATGTAAAACTAAGACATTTACAAAAAGCACTATAAAACTGTATGGTTTGGCAATCCCATCCATCAACAGACAGAACCATGAGTAATTCCTCTGTCCCTACATGGCATCAGTATCTTAATATTATTGACCCTAAGTAAAAACATCTGTAGATGTTCTGCTGGCTTCAAAACACATCAGCTCTTGCTTCTACAACATGCTATAAGAGGCCAGGGAGGGTCAGCTGGTCACGCCAGTGCTGGCGATGCTCCAGCCACACTTGCAGGTGGAGGCGGGGCAGGCACAGAGAAGGACATGGTGGCTCTCAGAAGCTGGAGGCTGAGCAGGCTGTTCATGGTTGAGGGTCAGCCACGTGTCATGCTGGAGGTCAAGGGAGCTGCCTGAGAGGGGTCATATGGAGCCAAGGAGAAATCACTACATCAGGTAAGGTTGCAATGCAGGATTAGCTTGGGTATATACAAAAATAGGCTCTCTTAGGTTGCCAAGCAATGTACTGAGTTAAGTTTTTACCCACAAAAGAAAATGCTATAACTTGGTGTTCATTAAAAAAAAAAAAAAAAAAGAAGAAGAATGGAAGAATCAAGACTCAAAAACATTTCCCTGGACTGCACTTCTGAAGCATTCCTGCAGCATTCCTTCAGTATTTTCTGACTTGGTTTTGAAAAATTCGACACCAGTGTCTTCATTCCCATTTTATTTCTTTGCATGCTAGGTGATGATCTGAGAAGCCTCCACATTTGTAAAAATTAACATTGTTCTTCATCAAGAAAATTATAGAGACTGTGCAATCATGATAAACATCCCAGAGTCATGCACATGTGCTAGTTAGGTAACACGTTCTCCTCTTCTGAAACAGATGCTCCTATCTCCAAGATCCTGGCACATTGCTACAAATCAGTTTCTATTCTACTCAGACCTTGCCTATTTCTTTTGCCTTTTTTTTGTTTTTTTGAAAATGTACACATTTACATCAGTAAAATTACCACTGGTTCATAGCAAAACTGCTTTCCAGATTTCTCTACCAGTAGAATTTTGTCACATAAATGCCCAAGTAACAACTGAATCGGTCAGAAGGCCAGTGTAGATGCCAGTGACAATGAAGTATATGGAAATTTTGCCCGAGCCAGGACCGATGAGAAATAAGGACAAGATTCCAGTGCTAAGGACTGAATACAAGAAGCACAGGGTCAACCACCTTTGAACTTTTGTTCTTGAGCTTCCATAAGTCAATTTGGCTCTAGCTGTCCTAAGCAGAAGTAACAGAAGGTGAATGAATGGCACTAGCTAATTCATAGACCTGAAACATCTGAGATGTTAAAGCATTCTTCTTGAGGAGAGAAGTTGTTTGGAACTTTGTACTTACTTAGTTTCGCATGATGGAAATAATTTCACTTAATTTAGTTAGAGTTGCATTGACACAGGGGTTCATTAGGACACCCATTTGCTTGCAATTCAATTTAAAATTAAATACACTTTGTTGTTGATTTTATTACTTTTAAACTACTGTATCTATTGCCTTTATTAGCTGCTAATATACAATTATGAAGGTAAACAGTTTTCATTACTGAACATCAAACATTTAAATAACCGCATTTGATCTCTTTTAAAGTTGCACCATTTTTCTCCTTTCCTTCCTTTTGTTGGGTATTAGGTTGAAGAAAATAATTTATTCAGCGAAGTTAGACCCCTTTTGTGCTCACCAGCCTGCTCATCAGCTGTCACAGCAGAACATAGCTTCCTTTGCTCTATTCATGAGGGTTATTTATTTCCTCCATTCATTTCTTTACAGGTAATTTGATGCATGTATTTATCTGAAGGTCATATATAGCTTGATCACAAAAACTTTTTCCAATTCCTGTTTCCTTCACTCTCTGAAGGGTAATTCAGTGGCAAAGATCAAAAATGCTGGGAGAAGACATTTGGTCACCTTTTGAAGTGCACTGTATGTAGCACTTAAAAATTACAGCCCGAGCTGTGTATCCAAAAATGGAGGTAACCCAAAACAGAGACCTCTTTCAAATGCACAGGCTTAATTTTTCTAGGCCTGAGGTCTTTCATTTGGGAGAAGTTCTAGTCATTAATATCTGTGAAGCACTGAAAGATCTTTAGAAGGAAAGCACATTAGATGGAAGTACAAAGTGGCTCTTATCTGACGTACCTTTGAAGCAGTTCCTGAATCCTGGCTCTCCACTTCTGTTTCTTGCGGTGAGAAACTTCCTTGTGGTGCTTTGAGTCCCACATGTCAAGACAAAAAAATTAAAAAAAAAAAAAAAAAACCAAAAAAAACCAACATCAACAAAAACCACAGAGTTTGTTTCCAAATGTACAGAAAAAACATGGAAATAAAAGCCATAAATGTGAAATTTTCCAAAGCTTTGCCTCAGGTCTTCTGGTTGAAGGTTTTCAGAAGCAATGAGGAATTCTAGCCACTGTAACTTTATTTCATTATTTTTTTCATAACTTTTTTTCCATATTTACTGCATTATTTCCAAGAGATACTGAGCTCTCACCTTATTTTAAAAACTTTTCTCATACAATGTATATTTGTACATGGTAGTGTTCTACAGTCCTTATTTTTACAACACCTAACCACATAGTCATACATAAGCATACATAACGTTTATGCATGTGCAAGTGTGTCTGTACAGACGCACCAAAATACAACACACAAAGCAGGTTTAGGCACAGACCAGAGAGCCCTCAACTTGCCTTGTTTTAAATTCACTCAAAATCTTGATGCCTTGTCTCACCAGGTTTGTTTTGAAATGCTTGGTGAGAGGGACTGACATTTTTGGAGGTTGCAATCTGTAGGAGGCTAACTCATGTATGCAGTCCACAGCCTCAACAGTTCTGAGCTCTCTAGCATGAAGCTGAAGGGCCTGAAGTTATTCTACCCTTGCACATCAAGCTCAAAAAGTCATTCTATCAAGAAGCTAGCATCCGCACCTATTAAACTCTGTTCTCTGTGAAAAAACTCAAAACGATAACCATACTGAGGGCTGCCCACTCATGAAAACAAAATTCTTCTCCTTGATCTGAACAGTACAGAGATCTTGCTGAATATTCAAGAACATTTCTCATGTCTGGATCTTCTGTTGGTGTCCCTGAGATTGACATAAAACATAGATACAAACTACCAATACATAAGAAGGCTTCCTATTGTATACCCTATACAGTCATTTAAACAGTGTAAAATTATGCTCCACTTCTACTCTCACTGTGCCTCAAAGGTAAAAAATCATTTTGGTAGGGAGGCAGTGTAATAGTCAATGGAGAAGAATTCCCCATCAGAGACTCCATTTATGACAGTTAAAGTCTCTCCTTTCTTCCAAATCTCTAAATTTTTTGACAAATTTGTGTCAGTCTTAAGGAAACTTGAGAATCTCTGCTGAAGACTAAGGCAAAGCATCCCACTTATTTCCAAAATTAAAATTGTCAGTGTAAAGACAGACAAAAACAACAAAAGCTTGTGCATGTAACTTTTAATGTAACCCTTTTAATTTAATCCTGTAAAATTAAAGCAGAAATATCATGGTTGCCTTAGACAACAGTCCCAGCAGAGATCCTCCGAGATGGATGCAATAAATCCTCCAGGTCAGGCATCACACATACATGATTAAAAATGTGATGCAACCAAACTAGCTCAAAGCAAGACCTTCCACCTCTCCACATGGCAGTTGTGTCATGGACAATGTTTCCTTCACCGCTGCTCCTCTGCTAGTGGGAACCAAGCCCTCCTGCTCCTGGACAACAGTTGGCTGAAATTCACTAGAAGTCTCTGGAGCAGGGAGCAGGACTCATTCTTCTCCCATCCCTGCAAATGCTGACACTGATTTTCTTTCCCCAGCCTATAGGAGGTAAATGACCTCCTATGCCACTTTCTCAGGAAGGACTGGGAATTGGCTCTGCTCTGGAGCTCCGCTCCAGCAGAGCTGGTAGCTGCATGGTTAGAGCCATCAGACCCACCTTGTGACACTTCCCACAGTCCAGTGGAGGCTGCAGTCACCAGGAAACATGTCAAGAGCAAGGACAGATTATTCCTATGCTCTCTCAGGTGTAGGGAACTCATCCTGGTGGCAGCAAAGACCAAGCAGCAAAGGCCACCACTTTCATCACCCCTGCAAGATGTAGGCACTAGGCTGCCATGGCTGGGACATTTGGTCTGACACCCAGCAACAGAGCTCAAAATCTCTGAGAAGGTTTAATGACAAAAACTATTGATGGAAAGATTCCATGTGTTTCCAGAGTTTGCTGGTAGATGGAAAGGGGTTTCAAGTTTTGGGCTGAAGCAGTTAAATTTCAGAAAGTGGGAGGAGGCCTTGGTTCACATTTTTTCTCCCGGATGCAACTCTTGGTGATGACTGTGAAAGCAATTTTTGAGGTGGCCACTTAATTAAGAAATAAGATTAAATAGAAAATTCACTTCATGTAAAATATCAAGTAGCCATAATATTGCAATAACATTCAGACATTACTAGTCCAGGCTTACACTGAGACAGTAGTAGAGAAGTTTTTTTTAAAGAAAAATTGATTTTATTACCAGACTCCCACAGCTGTCCAATCCCCTTGTTTATCTTCCTAATCTTAATTAAATAATGAATATTCAAAAGAAAATATGAATCTGTATTAACTGAACTGTTTTCTGTCTCTGCCTCTGAAGTGGCAATGAGAGTATGATTTAAAACTATTTCTTCTGGATCTTAGTAAAATATTTGTCACAGTGTGTCATGATAATTTTTAAAAAGCTCTATCATCTACCTAATAAATTTTTTAAGTTTATTCAAATCTTATTGAACAGGAAAAGTGCAATGAGTCATGGTTAATATTTCTTTACCTATACCAAGAAAAAAAAATTTATCAAAAATTCAGTGCTTAGGGTCCTATTCAGAAAACCTCTATGAGTCTGTAATACATCTTCTACATGATTAAAAAAACAGGAAACTTGCTTTTAAATGAATTATTCACCACCTTGAATAAATTTCCATCTTTCCTATTTGCAAAACCCCAAAGTCAGTTATGTAAATTTTAACCTACACTAATTACCTCAGGGGTGTGCAAGCTAAAGGAAAGTAGATGCAGTAGAAAAAAAAAAATCCCAGACATTTCCATCACCAGGAAGCAATTTAATAGAGGAAAAAATGTGTAAGCTTTCTAAAACAGAGCAGCCCATATAATTTTATTTTTTTTAAAATGCGTAATAGTCATTGCTGCAATATCCCTTGAATCAGAGATTTACTGGAATAAACCAAGTGCTTTTTCTCAATGGCATATACCATCGCACGCATGGCAGAGTGCTTGTTTCTCATCATGACACTGGCATTGTCTAGACTGTAACAACAACCCATTGTTGACAATGGGCGTTCCCAACAAGAAGGCATGAAATGTGGTTTAGCTTCAAGTCTGTATAGACATTGAGGGCCCCTTCAGAAAATAACTGGCTAAAATCTTCGAACCACTGGATATCCTTCAGAGCTCATCTGGGACGTACTGGAAAAAGCAAGGCGTTGTTTGAAGGCAGAAGGGCTTAATCACAGCACCAATTCCTATTCTCCATCCTGATACCAGCCCCTGCTTTAGCTGTGAGCCAGCTCCTTCACACATCTTTCTCAGTTTCTTCATCTGCTCTCTTGAGGTCTAATTACACAAATGGCCTATCTACTGATTTCAAAGAGCATGATCAAGACCACTACTTGAAAAAGGTCTTTCAGTCTGGGCTCAGTCTAGGCACACAGTGGTGTGTATTGTTTCTACAGAGACAAGAACCTGACTCAATCCCATTAATCAGTGCTGACTTGCTGTTTTCAGTGTGAAACTACTTCACAAATGGCAGAACTAGGTTGTAGAGTACTTTTCAATTTGGAAAAAAAAATTAAACAAAACCCCACCCAAACACATCCTTTCCTCTTAAAAGAAAGACCACAAAATTCACCAAAGCTTTGAAGCAAAATCTAATTGGTTTTCTATTGTTTAGCAAAAATGGAGCATTTAGGGAAAATATTTGCACACACACATGCACACACGCACCCCTTTCTTGTCAGTCCTAGCACTGTTATTACAACCTTCTGGTGAGGTACTTGCCCCACTGCAATTTGAAGCAACCAGTGGAGCACTGGCCCTGATGAAATCCCACTCCCTGCAAGGAGTGCTGTGGGGATCCACCTTCCCGCAAGTCCTCCTCACCAGGTCAGGGCATAGCAGAGGCAGCACAGAAACACCACCAGTGGGATCTCCAGCAGCCTTCCAGTGTCCAGAGGGATCTCACATGCAGAGGATCCTGGTGCTTCCCCTTCATTCCACTCCTTGATATACCACACTAGTACATCACAGTGCAGGTAGTGCTATCTTTTTAGCCGTAAAAAGATGCCCAGATAAAAGTTTTTACCTAGAATTTTCATCTCTGCATCCTAGAATATTTTTCAGTGATGGAAATGCTGTCCACTCCATTTTTACAGATGGGATAAGCAAGAGCTTACTAAGCAAAGCTTCAGCAGAACTAGAAACAAAACCCATGTGTCTAGTCCCACTGGCGCCACCTAGTTCTCCTCCTTCACAGTCTGGCTGCTGCATGGAGATTCACTCCTAGTGACTTCAATATCTAATGCACTGTATACCACAAAATAAATAAAAATGAAGAACCATTTGAGATGAGGGAAAAAAATATTGCAAGAAAAGTTAACGTTCTTTTCAGGTAAAGTGAAATTTTGAAAGACTTATCCTCTTCGTGTTAACTATAGGGAGATCACCGGGAAAGGGGGCAGTGAGTGGTAAATGGAATGAGTGCCCTTCATTGAAAATAATGAGTCAATAGCTGCATAGGCCTGCTCTGAAAATTGCACTACCCATTTCCTGTTGGAATTTGTGTGACCTTGTCATGGAAATGGTCACAAACCAAAAGGTAAACTTGTGCTAAAGCCTGGACATATGGTAGTATTATTGATGTGCACTCTGCCAAAAAATGTGCCAAAAACTTCCAAACATGTTCTTTAAAAAGAAAGAAAAATCAACACAGCAAACCCCCCATGACTTTTGTTCCAAATAGAAAATTAATTTACTGTTCATAAGAACAAAATTAAAAACTTGGACAATCGAGCATTTTATAACAGAACTCAAACCCACTTTTAAATTTGATACTGCAGAACACAAAATGAGATTTACTTTAGTCATGCTACAGCCTTATTATATTGAGTAATACAGATAGATTTAGTGACAACATTATAGGCTGATCA